AAAGTACGTGGCATCGTTGCTGATCTAATTAAAAACGAAATCGTCCGGGAGAGCAATTCTCCATTTGGGAGCCCGATTATACTCGTTAAGAAAAAAGATGGGACATTTCGATTGTGTGTCGATTATCGTCATTTGAATAAAATAACTTTAAGAGATCGGTATCCATTGCCACGTATTGACGATCAGCTCGATCGTTTAGGCAAAAATAAATTTTTCACGTCACTTGATATGGCTTCGGGCTTTCACCAAATCCCGATTAATCCCGAGTCGATTCCAAAAACCGCTTTCGTGACACCGGATGGTCAGTATGAGTATTTAAAAATGCCTTTTGGACTGGCCAATGGTCCTGCGGTCTTTCAGAGAGCAATTAATATGGCTTTAGGTAACCTAAAATATGACACCGCGGTTGTTTACATGGATGACATAGTAATACCCTCCATCACACTTGAGGATGGATTTTGTAAACTAAAATTAGTTCTTGATGCTTTGTCTAAAGCCGGATTTTCAATTAACCTTCGTAAATGTCGATTTTTTATGCAAAACATCACCTATTTAGGTCGTCAAATATCGGCTGATGGTATCCGACCTGATCCGAATAAAGTTAAAGCAGTCAAGGAAAGTCTGTCACCCACTAACGTGAAACAAGTGCGCCAATTCATCGGTTTGGCGAGCTACTTCCGTAAATTTATTCCCGCTTTTTCTTCCAAAGTAGCTTGTATAACTCACTTGACTCGTAATGATGTTCCCTTTGTTTGGACGACTGAATGTGAAAAAGCAAGGCAGTATGTTATTGATGTCCTTACTCAAAAACCCCTATTGTCAATTTTCGATTCAAATTTAGAGACTCAATTGCATACTGATGCGAGCAGTATTGGTTTCGGTGCTATTTTATTGCAGAAACACAGTGATACCTTTCGTCCAGTTGAATATTTCAGTCAAAAAACCAATCCAGATGAAGCTATGTATCATTCGTTTGAACTAGAGACTCTGGCCGTTGTGAAAGCTTTAAAAAATTTTCGTGTATATTTGCTTGGATTAAGATTCACTTTAGTAACTGATTGCAATTCCTTAAAATTATCTGCAAGCAAAAAAGAACTTAAGCCGCGGACCGCCCGCTGGTGGGCTTATATGCAGGATTTCGACTTCGAAATTGTTTATCGTAAAGGCTCTGAAATATCTCATGTTGACTTCCTTAGCAGGAACCCAATTGAAACTGTAGCTCATATCGATTCACAACCCAATTTTCATAAAAATTGGCTTACCATATCACAAAGTCAAGATGAGGAATGTAAACAAATCATTCAATCTTTGAACGATGCTAAAGATGATGTCAAACGAAAATATAAATTAGAAAAAGAGACCTTATTTCGTATTACAACCAATAAAAATAACAAATCGTCTCAGTCTTTACTTTTTGTACCATCTAATAACCGTTATAGTCTTTTGAAAATATTTCACGATGATCAAAGTCACATAGGTTGGGAAAAAACTCTTGCCTCAATCAGACTTTACTTTTGGTTTCCCCATATGACCAGGTATGTTAAAAAGTATGTTGAACACTGTTTGATATGTGCAGTACGAAAAAATCAGACGGGTCCTAAACAAGGCTTCCTTACTTCTATCCCAAAGCCCGATGAACCATTCCATACAGTTCATGTCGACTGTCTGGGCCCCTTACCAGGTAATCCAAAAAACTATAAATATATCCTTGTTATAATTGACGCCTTCTCCAAATTCTGTCTCCTATATCCTCAATCCACCGTTACTACAGAAGAAACAACACAAAATTTTGCTAAATTCCTCAGCATATTTGGCACGCCCTCCAAACTAATTCACGACGCTGGAACTAATTTCATAGCAAAAATATTTAAATCATTTACCGAATATTTTGGCATCGAATTACACGTGACAACCCCCGGTGTTCATCGCTCCAACGGACAAATAGAACGCTATATGCGAACTATTACCAATTTGTTAAGAGTTGAATCCAATAAAGTAACAGATTGGCCGAACAAAGTATGGAAGATCCAGTTAGTAATCAATACTACGAAACAAAAGACGACTGGTTGCTCACCTTTTAAGTTAGTATTTGGTCGAGAGGGTCAAACGCCTCAAATTCGTACAGTCTTAACCGATTTGCCAATCCCTGATGAAACTAAATCTCCAGTGGATTATTCCGCAGTTATAAAGAAACTACGGCAAAATTCAGAAAGGCAGTTGAATTATCTAAATAAGAAGCGAAGAGACAATCAGCTGTATAAAGTAGGTGATACTGTTTTGTTAAGCCGAGGTCAAAGACCTGAAAAGTTTTCTTGTGAATTTGTTGGTCCTTACATAATCAAGAGATCACTTACCAATAATCGGTATTTGATTAAGAAATTAGGTACTCCGAAAACTTTTAAATGTTCTAAGGATCAGTTGCGGCATTGGCCTACTGATTGGACGCCTGACGATTTCCAAAGATTATTACAACTAGACAATTGTAAGTACATAATTTGACTTGTTGTGCCGTGTTAGATTGATTTGAGTTGTGTATATAAAACTAATTTAAATAGTCTTTGGAGTATTTTGTGTTTTGATTTTGTTGTTTGAGAGCCCATCGCAAATACGTGCTTATTGCAGTATTTCCATCGCGCTGCTCAAGTCAACTCTGTGTTTTGATTTTGTTGTTTGAGAGCCCATCGCAAATACGTGCTTATTGCAGTATTTCCATCGCGCTGCTCAAGTCAACTCTGTGTTTTGATTTTGTTGTTTGAGAGCCCATCGCAAATACGTGCTTATTGCAGTATTTCCATCGCGCTGCTCAAGTCAACTCTGTGTTTTGATTTTGTTGTTTGAGAGCCCATCGCAAATACGTGCTTATTGCAGTATTTCCATCGCGCTGCTCAAGTCAACTCTGTGTTTTGATTTTGTTGTTTGAGAGCCCATCGCAAATACGTGCTTATTGCAGTATTTCCATCGCGCTGCTCAAGTCAACTCTGTGTTTTGATTTTGTTGTTTGAGAGCCCATCGCAAATACGTGCTTATTGCAGTATTTCCATCGTGCTGCTCAAGTCAACTCTGTGTTTTGATTTTGTTGTTTGAGAGCCCATCGCAAATACGTGCTTATTGCAGTATTTCCATCGTGCTGCTCAAGTCAACTCTGTGTTTTGATTTTGTTGTTTGAGAGCCCATCGCAAATACGTGCTTATTGCAGTATTTCCATCGTGCTACTCAAGTCAACTCTGTATTTGTAAATGCGTGCTTACTACAGAATTTCCATCGTGTCTGTCAGCTTGTGAGTTATTACGTAAATCTAGTCCCAATTGTTTGTGAAATTCATTTGATTGATGAATTCTCGTTTTTTGTTCATTACAGGGAACTCTGGGACGGCTGATGATAAATCTGCAGAATGAAAGGTTTACGAATTTTTACCGATGTACACATCTATATATTTTAACGTTGCTGTAAAGAAATAAAACTTTGTTTTTTTTTCTGTGTGTTCATGTCTGTGACACTTCAAATGAGTCATGCATTCCGAGAGCGGAATGTTGTCAGTTTGGCCGTGTTAGATTACGTTCGAATATTTAAATATTGGCGCGATCTATCGATTTCGGATGCGTCGGGAAATCTTCGGGTCTATTCGCGCGCGTGAGCCGGGACGCCGCAGAGGGTGGCGACGGGCATCAGTTTGATGCCCTGCTCTGGCATGCACCGCTCGACATTGACGCCAAGATCGGAAAAGTCGTCTTTAAAACAATCTCGATTTATTTAAATCTAACAATATATATTATAGCATTTTCCATCTAATAGGTGGTTCTGGCGCAAATAAACATATTTTTGATTTAACAAACTATTTTGTGGAAATAACCAAGATAAGTTTATCTTAATAAAATATTATCTTGTTGGTATCATAACAACAAATAATTTTGTTAATTTCCAACAAATTACAACAATTAACGTTTTTGTTCCTTGTATCTACGCCACTGCGGAGCAGCACACATTACGTATATCATAAACAAAGCCAGCTTTACATAATAGAAAAGCTTCTATAGGTACATGATTTTTCAACCATTAAAGGAATTTCATTGAAAATTTCTTTATGTGTGCATATTTTTTTTATTTTCTGATCTTTCTGATGTTTCGCAAAGGTTTCCAAAACAGAAGTGAAGCAGATATTGGATGATTGTTTAGTTACAATAAAAATTTGCTGCAATGATTGCATTTTTTTTAAATTTCCTGGTATTCCTAATTTTTCGTAAATGTTTCGAAAAGAGAAGTGAGGCAGATATTATATAGTTGTTTAAATACATTAAAAATTTGCTGCAGTGATGCCATATTTTATTTTATCGATCTTTGGCAGGTGGTGTGAGATTTTTTTTTACTTTCCGTATAGCAAGCTGGGACGTCAAATTTTACCCGCGCTGTACCTGGAAATCGATTCCATTCACAATCAATCGAAGAGAAAAATTGCAAATGCCGATAACCAAATTCTTGGTAAAAATAGTACATGTATATCGTTATTTTTTTGCCAAAGTAATAATATTATTTAATTTCAGAAAGAAACTGGCGTGTTCCATATGACCCTTTGCAATTTTCTTTAGCCTCTAATATACGAAACAAGACAAAAAAGCGTCTCAAAATTCTATAATTAAAAGTGTGGAAAGCCTGGAAGTGAAAGAATAGACCGTCAAAACGTAATCCAAAAATTACGTCGCCCAAATACACGTCACAATAGGGTTTCGCACAAAAGGATCTTTGTTAAAAGTGCGATCCGAAAGAATGAAGCAAAGTTTGCGCGATATTTAAATTTCTTGCCGTTTTAAAATAGGAGAAGCGTGGGACCAGCAACTTTGTTTTGATTTAAATATTCTCAGAATATCTGTCATAGGGCTGGAATTTTAGTTACCTTTAGTTCAGCCAGCGTCTTTTTTTTTGTAACGTAAACTTAATTACAAGTTGTGCATTACATACCCTCTATTTAAAAAAAGTAAATTCAGCATTTTAACCATTGGTTTTTATTTACAATAACATATTGCTATAAATAATATCTATTTAGAATAATGATAAAAACTTATTGAATAAATTTTATAACAGAATATTAAGCGTAATATATTACAAATTACTGTTTAGGGAAATCAACCAAGAAAAAATGTTGAAAATTATTATACAATTTTTTGAATAATTGTTATCTTGAATTTTAAAACTCAAAACTTAACATGTGATAATTTGATGCCCTTCGAAGGTATAAAAAAAGTGATAAACATAATAATTAGACGTTAACAGTATCACGTCAAGTAGCATCTTTTCCCATAATCTACTTTTTCTTTAGTGTTAAATGTTATATTTTAGGTTAACATAAAGATATTGAAATGCGGCTTTCATAAAAACTGAAAACTGGAGACACTTTCCTTGCAGAGGTAGAGCAAGCTCACTTTACTATGGTTAACATTAGAAATTTTCGTAAAAGTCGAGGTTTAGCATTCAACATAATAATTACTTCCCTTGGTGGCGATTTCTGAAACTCTGAAATAATTTCCAAGTTTTTCTCTTGACTGATCTACTTACTCGTTGCCTTTATCTAGACACTCGCTATATTTAAGTAGATATCGTATGTCAGTTCCTATTCCCAGATATAAAGTAATAAAAGAAAATGAAGTTTATTTCAAAGTCGTTCTACACTTTAAAAATAAAGCACTTTTAACTACGTGGGATCTTAAATGTTGTTATATTGTTCATAAAAGGAAGCAGTATAATATATTTTTTATTTTACTAAACTGAACCGCTACAAATCTTAATACAATATTATATTATTACAATTATTAAACACATTATAGTGACGTAAGAGCGTGAAAACTGTTTGCGTTGAAGACGTTTCACAGACTTATCTTAAAGTTGAAAGAATTAAATAACTCAAATCACATTTTTATATTTATTTTCTTAGGAAAACTATCTTTGCACAGCAAAGAGTCATCTTAAACTTGTTCCACAATATACTATTTCTGTTGTACATATACATTACTTTCTCAACTTATTCAGTCACTACAGCAGCTACATTCGTTTTTTATCTTTCTCCATTCGAATAGTCCAAACTACAGTATCACGCCGGATATCATAAACGATTTATGCACACACCTTATTAAAGTGTCCTTGAAATACACTGTTTCGTTTTATTGCTGACATTTCTAAAATTGTCTTCAATTTCGTGCAATGGTTTAGCTTTCGTCTCTGGAAGTATAAATATCAACAATACCATGCCGACGAAGCAAGAACCGGCGAACAATAGGAACGCTCCTTCCGATGCGAGACTCTTAAACAAAAATGGAGTAATTTTAACGATAACGAACATCAATATCATGTTGTAGAAGGTGGCGGTTCCGCTCCCCAAACCTCTAGTGCGTTGCGAAAACAATTCGCCTATCATCGAGTACGGCAAAGGCACCAATCCGACATTGGTGAAGAACATGTACGCCACCAACGCAGTGACCGATATCCACATGTACTTCTCGTAGATCGTGGTATAAGTAAGCGCCAGGAAAGAAACGGTGCTTAAAGTCAGAAGCGATAGAAACGTTCCGAGGCAACTAAAAATCATTAACGACCTTCGACCCAAGTATCGCTGACAGAAACAAGCCATGATCGACGCTATCACTCTGGTCGCGTCCATGAAAAACATGGAGGTGTACGAATCGATTCTTCCTTTCAACAGCTGCTCCAAAATGTTGATGGTGTAGAACGCTATTGGGTTGTTTCCTGACCATTGCATGGTAGTAAAGAATACTATCAGTATCAGTAACGGTTTGTAGAGCTCGGGTTTTGTGAAGGATTTGATCGAGCTGCTGATGGACATCTTCGGTAGACACGATTGCGCTTGGTGTCTACTTATAAGTTCGGAAAGTTCTAATTCAGCGGCAGCACCATGACCTCTGCACCTGAAAAGTAACAAGTGAATAACCAAATCCATTCATCAATTGAAGTGCTAGTTGGGATTTAGTTACTTAGGAAGAAGCAAATCGTTCTATTGGGTTGAGCGGTCAAAATGCAATGCAATGCAATTAAGAAAATAAAACGATGAATTTAACGCATTCAATATTACTGTTCCCAACTAAAAATTAAACTATGTCCGAAGATAGATCTTTAAAAATGAAAAATTGCATAAACATAGTAGCAAAATTATGAACCCCAAGGATTCAAAAAACCTGAGTTATATATACAAGTTTTAGAAATTAGAAAGATCTAATAGTGTTATATTGTTGAGATGATTTGATATTTATTCAATGTTTTCAAATTTAGGTACGAGAATCACATTTTGCATCACTCCTATGACAAACTGAATAAATGAATTGACAAACAAATCAGTAAATAATTAAGAAAACATTCAGTCACTGGGGTCAACCCTGCATAGATATCCACCCTGGCTATAGGTTTAACTCTATCCAGTTATTCCACATAAATCTCCACATCTCGTTATAAGGCGACACGTAAACAATGCGTGGAAATAACTATTCGTTAGCCTCAGTTGAGTTAGAATCCGAGTTGTTTGAAAAGGTAAATTAGAGTTGAGGTATTTTGAAAAAGACTAACACTTCAGCTATTGTAGAATATCGTGTAAGTGGAATTTTGTAATTGGCGATTGAAACACTGCCTTGAGTGTCGCAAAAGAGCACAAGAAGTTGATTTCGGCAAACTTTTGAAGAAATTAGATTGGGTTGTTTCAGCAATATCCAAAATAGCGTAAAATCCAGACATCAACGTCAGTAGAAATGAAAACCTGTGTTAATGCTCTTCAGGAGATAAGTTTAGATTTATACAACATGCTAAGACCTGTGCAATGTTGGGCTTTGGTCACCCATATCCCTAAAAAAAGAAGAAAAGAAAGTAACTTCCAAATGTGTTTTGATAATTAACTACTTCAACAAAATTATTATTTAGGTTGGACTTTTTTAAATATTAACTACTAATTTGTTCAAATAAATGTATAGGGTGACGTTCACATCAAAAAAGCGAGTAATGTAGGTTCAAAAAACGGGTCGCAGCTAAATACTGTTAAAAAATGATTACCAAAAAGTGGCAGATGCATATTTAGACCGAGTTTTTATAAAGCAGCAAAAACATGAGTCAACAATTACAACAGTGCTGAGGGTATATGTGCAGAAAGTGCTTCTTTCCAGTATCAAACAAATTCATTGGAAATATTTATTCCAAAATCTTCACTCACCAATAAAAAGCTTCTTTGCCCTTTTCGAGTTTTCCGCGTTTAATCAAGAACGTGGGCGATTCCGGTACGAACAGCATAACAACAAAGCACGAAATCGGAAACGCGCATGACAGGACAGCCACCATGCGCCATTCTAGATAAGTCCCCAAGACATGAGCTGCCGCGATGCCTACGTTAACCGCTGATGTGCCAATACCTAACAAAAATCCCCTGGACTCAGGATCAGATGTTTCCGCTACAAAGACGCTTATGACGGCACTGATAATACCGACGCACAGGCCTAAAACATGACACAGCATGACATATTTCATAAATTATCGACTTTTCAAGGGTATCTAGTTTATCCTTGGGATTACCCAAGAGGTTTTTTAATTTTGATCCGGACTGATAGACCCTGAAGACTCTATCAAATCCGCCTGTATATTGGGGAGAGAAAGGAATTGAGACTACTTTTAAATTTTCCTCATCAGCTTGAAAAGTCGTTGATTTTCGAAGTTTGCTTTTAAATCTAAATGTCCTAATTAACTTATCGATAAAACTATCTTCATAGCCATTGATTCTAGCCACCTTTTTTATAAGGCTTCTTTCCACCTCAAACCTTTCTTGATTTAAAGGAAATGTGACAAGTCCATGGACTAGAAAATTAAAACTTGCCATTTTATGTTGAAAAGCATGGTTAGAATCATTGGTCACAAAAAAGATTTATAGAAATATAATAATAATAATAAGAATAATAATAATACATAGAAATAATTACATAACCAAAGTTAAATAAGTTTAATAATGGTCAACAATAGGCCTTGTTAGGGCAGCCATCTAGAAGTTCTAGATACTGTTCAGGTCTCAATTTAACAGCGAAAATATAATAATAAAAAATTTCATAGAATTTATTTGAGAGCGTCAAGCGTAGATACACACATTCTAAAGAAAAGAAAAGAGAAGAAATGGAGGGGGAAGGAAAGGAAAGGAAAGGGGCACATGTTTTGTAGAAGAGCTTAATATTAGTGCGTACGTAACAACTGCTTTTTGAAATTATTCCTAAACGTCGAGCTGGACTGATTAATATCAAAATTAGTAACAGAGTTAATGCAAATGGCTATATTATAGGAATATGACCTTTTAAATAATTCTTTGCGGTGACGGGGTATAACTAGTCGGTGTCTACCATGCAGGTTCAAATTGTGTATTGATATGTTAAGAGTAATTTTTCTGTAAAGATAAAAAGGTAATTTTGTTTTAAGGATGTTGAAATAAAGGGAACTCATTCGTAATTTGCATCGAAGGTGCATATTAAGCCAACCCGATGCAGCAAGGTACGGGGAGATATGATCTCTCCTCCTTACCCCATAAATTAGCCTTAGACAGGAGTTTTGAACCTTCTGGACACGGTAACGATCGGATGCATCCAGGCACGGTCCGTACACAGCACTGCAGTGATTAAATTGCGACAGAACAAGTGATTCACACAGCAACTTACGAGTTCCCTGACAAAGTACATGTCTATTGCCATAAATTAATTTTAAATTAGCATAGGCATGATATATTATCAGGTTGTTTCGTTTAAAACAATCATTAATCTGTCAAAAACTGTCAATATTAAACCTTAACATGAAATTTCATTCTTTTTTTCTATTACTAGTGGGTAACGCAAAAATACGGTGTAAAACTCGGCACCCTTATTTCCGAGTTTATTTCTAACCTGTTATGAACCTTCCAGCTAATAGCATTGCGATGCTCTGGCCGCAGAAAGCAATCAGGAGCCAGCCGAATACGTTAATCAAGCTAGTTATGATAAACAATGATTTTCTACCCACGATTTCCATGGAAACTCCTCCCAATAAGCAACCGAACGACATCGGCAATGTCGTGATAGACGCTGGAACACAAAAAACTCCTACACTCCATTTCGGGTATTCGTTGTGATTTGTTACCTATCCATGAGGATAGTTCATCGGTGATTTCCCATGGGCTTCCTCTTTCGAGTTGAGGAAGTAAAACTGCGGAGTAGCCTTCCGCGAGCCCCACGCTGATTGTTAATAGGAATGGCCCCAGAGCGACAAATGTCTGCAAAATTTTGGTAGTGGGCTATTTCAATATGCTCGGCGTGTATTTCTGTTGGTATATTCAGTTAGCAGGTAGCTTCGCGGACCATTACGGAACTTTCGCGAAATGGGTGGAATTTGCAATAATTTATAAACCAATTCATGTTATACATCTTACAAAACATACAATTTTTTAATTACAGAGAAATGTTATAGCTTTGCTTCTACGTTTACTGGTCCATAATTTTTTCCAATACGCTACAAAACAGCTAATAACGTACCACTAAAAAATGCTTTTTTGGGATTTTTAGTTTTTTGCATATGCATAATTCAAAAATTCTTAAAATAAAAGTTTTAGCCACGGACATCCCGAGTTTCGTAGTTTCAGAATTTTTGTGATTGGGTAAATGTTTGTCCAGAAAACATTTTTTTGTAAGCCAAAATAATCAAAAATTTCAAATTAGGTTTTTAAACATAGCACGGAATATTCCGAACACCCTGTATTTAATGCGAAAACCTTCAACGCAAGAATATCCAACAACATAAATTATTTATTATTCAGCAGATTTTATTTTTTAAGTTAAGATAGAGAAAACAAACAAAAACTGTGTAATCTATTTTTACACTTTCTTGGACATTTTGAAAGTTCTGATTTTTTAATTTACTAAAAAGCACTCCATCATTAGTTAAAACATGACCCTCGATTACGATCTTTGTTATTTGCATATACACGTAAATAACAAAGGAATCTTAGCAGTCATTTCGGTTTAATTGTTAAATGACTTCATTGCATCTTTTTTTTTCTTTGAAAAATTGATTTCATTGCATTTAGGTTTTAATTCCATTGTTATAACTTTTACTGATATGCATAGCATTACTGATGGTCTAAAATGGGAAAATATTGTTTAGCCAATGGAAAAGTGGCGACAGGTAAGACCAAAAACTATATACATTCAAATTATTCTTAATTATTCATTTTTAGTGCATGCTTTCACCAATTAAAACCTATTTAATTTATAGCCTATAATTAAATGCTCTTTTATTTTTTCAAGCAAAAATTATTTATTGATGCTAGGTTCACTTCTCCAATAATCAAGCTACTATTGATTTGTACGACTTACAGTATAAAAAAAAGAGAAATGAACCATGGATATTTTTTAGTTATTTCAGATAATTTTTTTTTTCATTCAAAATAAAAAATTAAATTAAGTGTTATTAAGGTTAAAAATAATAATATACTTTTCTGACGGAGCAGCTTCACAATATAAAAATAAATATAGCTTTATTAACTTAATAGAATGGAGTAGAAATTCTTCACCACATCCCAGGGCAAAGGAGCATATGATAGCTTAGGGGAAGTGTAAACAGACAGGGTTAACGAGCGTAACAACGTAACACTAATTGGCATATAAGGGCAGCACTTTTTTTGTTCGAGTCTAAGTTCTGTTAATTCATATTTAATAATTCATTTGTTTTCTATGTCATATTTTAACAATAGAAAATTATTTTATTCTATTGTTAAGTATAATTTTGCACGAAAGATATTATTTGTTGAATAGTGCATATTTTTTGTTGTTTTTTTTAGTTCTGACAGCGCCCTGCTCGAGGTTATAAATTTCGAAAAACTGTTTCGGGTATTAATTTTTGGTAGTATGAATTCAGTTTTTATGATGAAGGGGGTCCATTTGATTGTGATCTGGCTCTAATCTTAAAAATCTTGTGGTGTTCACATTAACGCTAATGCAAATTTTGTAATTCCAGATCCAACACTGGAGATAATAGTACAATGCGATCGCATTGTTACGGTATTTACAATTGGCTGAAGCCAGGACGCCGACCGAGTATAGTAAAATAAGTTACTCAAACATTTGATATTTAAAGCCATACTGTGTAAATCTACAGAACCCGTTTTGTATCTATAGGGTAGACCAAATTTAATGTTTTTTGGAGGTTTGTGCTAGACTTTCGCCACAATTATAAATACGAAATCTCATCTTAATATGTTCTACCAGAAAGCAAAATTTTAACAAATAAGCAACTAGTAAGTAATTTTCGTTTCCAAAATTAAAAATTTATGGGGTTAAAATTTCATTCATAGTTTTCAAAACTAAGAACCACCATATCTTAACGGCTGACGTTGCAAAAAAATTTGTAAATATTAAACATTATATTAATCAACGTAATATTATGTATTTGCACCCAATTGTTTATATTTTTTCAGCATTCTTTAAAATATGCTTCCACCATTAGCGAAATTTGTGTGCGTTCATAATGGTGATAATTTTTATTAAATAACTATTATATACTAATATAAACTAAATAATATGGTCATCAAGATTTAAACAGATTCAACTAGTGTATGTAAAGTAAGATAAGTCTAGGTTTAAAGACTTTGATGTAATTATAATCATATGTTTTTTTCACTATTCACAAAAAATTTTGTAGATTTAATACTCATTCATAGCTATAGTAATTAATACCATATTACTAAAATACAACTGTCTTCGTTCTATAGTATATAAATATTACAAATAAACGAAAAATGTCATGATAATCAAAATTTAAAAAGAAAAAGGTTTTTCCTTTTCTAAAAAATAAAAAAATATATATATATATATATATATATATATATATATATATATATATATATATATATATATATATATATATATATATATATATATATATATATATATATATATATATATATATGATGACACTATATTCCGGGATATCATCCGTTCGCTCGTTGAACTCCGACTGGAATCCTGCATCCGACTGGAATCCTGCAAATCTTGCATCCGACTGGAATCCTGCAGACGTTTCGCCAAAATCTCACTTGGCATCTTCAATGCTCGCGCTCCGAAAACACTTCGAACACCGGAGCGCGAGCATTGAAGATGCCAAGTGAGATTTTGGCGAAACGTCTGCAGGATTCCAGTCGGATGCAAGATTTGCAGGATTCCAGTCGGATGCAGGATTCCAGTCGGAGTTCAACGAGCGAACGGATGATATCCCGGAATATAGTGTCATCACATTTTTCCATCCGTGAATCAATACGTGAGAATATATATATATATATATATATATATATATATATATATATATATATATATATATATATATATATATATATATATATATATATATATATATATATATATATATATATATATATATATATATTGTGTGTTTAAATGTTAAATATTAAGGAAGATGTATGAGTATATTAATCATCAAGTATTGATATTTAAATCATAATAATTATATCCGCAAAATGCAGCCACCACTATTTATATAAATGAGAGAGAAAAGAGAGAGAAAAATCCCCATTACTAACTGTCTTCTCCTAAAATTTTTAATTTTTCTTTTACGCCGTTGCCATTCCAAACGATTTTCAGGTCTGATTCAAATGTTATTTTGAAATACATCGACTGGCTATTCTCGCATTAGCGTACACTGATAGCAAATTAACTGCCAAGTTAATGATGAACGTGCATATTTTCCAAAGTCAGGCTTATTCCGTCTATTGGCAGTGGTTAGAATAAGGCCAAAATGACCTTGCGCAATGTCTTCCGTACCTCTCAGACAATTATTTAAAGTGCAAACATTATATAATTAAATGGAATAATCTTTGCTTGTACTCCATCAACCGTCTTTGTCAATATTCGTATGAATCAAATCGGCCGTAAAACCGACAGCGGTATTGTGTTTTCGCAATTTATGCAGAAATAATGTGATTTATTCCATTATATTTTATATATTTATTTTAACATATATTATATTTCAGAAAAGTATGGAATAAAAAAAGTTTTGCTAAATTTCGGTACCGTCCATTTTTGGCCACTTACCATCCTCATTTTTCAAAGAAACCGCCCCCTCAAACAATATATAAGCAAGTACAGAGTTGAGTGCGACCTTGGCTTCGAAAAAGCCAACAGGATGATTGGCGAAACGTCAGCAAGTTGGATCCATCAACAACGGAAACAGGGGGAATCCAAATTTTGTAAATACCTGATATATTGCCCCTCATTATTCCTTCACGACGGAACAAGGAAAATGAATTGCACTTTAGTGAACATACTTACGGTAGCACGGTTACATAATTATATTTGCCTATAGAATCTTATAGTATATAGTAAAAAACATACAGCAACTGCGCTGCCCATACCACTATATCATTGTAAAATGTCCACTAAAAAAATAGAAGAAGAAGAAGAATTTTATTAACCACATATTGTACAATAATAATACAATTGCAACCTGTCAATATAAGGTAAAATTCAAAAACAAAATGTAAAATGTATAAAGGTGTAAAAAAAACGTATTTTATAAATAACACAAAAGTGAACAATAACAAATGTAAAGGCCAACAACGCTAACACGGAGTATAAAAATCGTACAGAAAATGCAAGATAGTATGCTAAGATCTTCACACAACTCAGTAAGCCAAGGATTTTAATTTAGTTTTTTTATTGTGTTGGAGTACTCGTCTACACTATAGAAACAATTTTCAATAAGCAACATTTTAATATTAGTTTTGAACACCTCAAAAGCCTATCTTGCAGCATATTGTACAAGTTAATGTTTAAAGAATTTTTGTCTGATGAAACAAGTCTGTGCTTTGGAACTCTTATAAGATTTTTTGCACGTGTTGGATAACTATAAGACACACCTTCAAATATATTAGTATGTTTGTTGATTTCTAAAAGATTGTGAAGAATATAGGATACAGGGCAGAGTCATTATCTTATATTTTTTAAAATATAGAGTACAGGGTTCATTGTGCTTAGCCCCAGCCAGAATTCTTATAGCCCTTTTTGCATCCTGAATATTTGAACAGCATTGACAGAGTTTTCCCATAATATTGTGCCATATGATATGTGGGAATGAAATAAAGCAGTCATTAGGGCATTTTGGTCTAGGCTCTCCCTAATTTTTCTAAGGACGAATAAGCTGGAAGATAGTTTTCGCTTAAAAGATAAAATATGATATTTCCAGTCAAGTTTACTATCAAGTGTAAAGCCAAGTAATTCAGCCGACTGCCGTTCGCCGTTGTTGTATTTATCTAGCGAAAAGAATATTTTTTGAGATTTGTCCGTTTTCAAATAATTGTTTTTAAACCAATTGTTCGCATTGCTTTCCAGTTCGCCAATAATGTTGTGCGGACCATATAAGATAAAACTGGCATCGTCCGCAAATAAAGCACATTTGACGGACCCCAAAAAACGGCATAGATCAGCAACATATACTATAAAAAATACAGGGCCGAGTACGGACCCTTGGGAGACCCCACTGGAGACCTTTATCAAAGAAAATTTACGTCTGTCATCGCCCATAAACTGTTCCCTGTCCAGTAAATAAGATTCTGTTAGCTGTTAGCCCGCGAAATCCATACCTAAACAGCTTCTGTTTAAGAAGATCGTGCGAGATACAGTCGAAGGCCTTGCTAAGGTCGCACACTGTCAACCCCACCCGATTTCCAGTCTCAAGACCCAACACCACATCCCACAACCTTACTTATCGCTTGTATGGTAGAGCGCCCCTCCTTAAATCCAAACTGCTCATTCCCAAAGATACATTGCTGCTCAAAAAAATTAACTATTTGTGGTTTTATAACCCTCTCAAATATCTTACCGATATGTGGCACTATAGATATGGGGCGATAGTCTCCCGGATTGTTAATATCACCACTCTTAAAGATTGGAATAACTTTTCTAATTTTTAAAGTATCTGGAAAAATGCCATATTGAATGCACTTATTAAAAAAGAAGGTAAGTGGAATTACCAAAACATCTATAAGGTTTCTTAGTAAATTGACATTGATTTCATAAGCGGGTAAGGGCAAATGGTTAATAGGCGAAATCCATAAGTTAACCCAAATCTGGGTGGCAGATGGCGTATAAAGTCAAAGTCATCTATGGCAACAATGCGCGTCCCACAAGGGTCTGTATTAGGGGGGTTACTTTTCCTCTTGTATATTGAGAGTTTACAGCATTTGTGTGGTCCGGACGACTTCGAGAAAACATTGTTTCCAAAATTGGTTGATGACGTGTACGTGTGATCCATAATATTTGGCAAGTACATCACTTAAATTGAAAATGTACTGAGAAAGTTGCTGAAATTCCTTCACTTTCATTTAAATGGTTTCTACCCGGCTAGGGGACTGCCACTGAGTGATTTATTAATAATGTTTAAGATTCCCTCACTGTTGAATCGTAGGAGGTACCTTTCATTTCAGTTATTATATAAACTTTGCAATTCATTGCTGAGCCAGCTGAACTTCCATGTTAGTTCAAGAACTACCTGTATTTCACCTAGTAACTCCAAGAACTAATTTTTTGATTGAAGGTGTTCTCTATCAGTTGATGAAATTATTTAATGACCTCTGTAATGATATTGACGTTTTTTGTCTTAGTCACTCACAGTTTACCATATTAATTAAACGTAACTTTGAAATATTATAATGGATTGTATGTTTCACTATTGCTTTTCCGGAGTGTATATAGTTGACTACTTATTATAGTTGTAGTTATAGTTAAAGATTATTATAATTTTTATAATTATTATTATTATAACTTATACCCTAATCTACTAAAAACATCTTTTATCATATCGAGTAGTAGAGACCTTTTTCTTGACATAAATAGTGAAGATGTGCAGTCAGTATATGGTATAGTTTCTTGTAGTATACCCTAGATAAAAACATGAATTTTAAGGCTCATTACTTCTTCGGAACTGGAAGCAGAATCACAAATGTTAAGTGTTTATTAAGTTAAGAGCAGAATTTGGAATGGAAATGTGTGTATATGTGTTTAAAAATAAATCAGGTTTTATGTTGAGTATAAGTTATTTTCATTCAGCGAATATAAGTACTAATTGCCCTTATTAATATAAAAAAGAAATAAAGATGTCTAATAATTCATGTGCATTAAAAAAAAAGGAAAATATTTCGATTATTGCCTGTACTCGGTAGAAAAGTATTTTAGTTCGAGTGTCTTTTTCTCTTACTTGTTTGTACATTACGGTAGTCTGTAGTAGTAGTAGTAGTAGTAGCTTGGGCGCCATTTTATTATATTTTGACTATACAAATCTTTTATTTATCGCCTTGGAAAACAAAAATCAATTTTTATTGTAAACCTGTATACACGACTCGAGCTCAAGTCTTATTCGAAACGTTCTCGTTTGTGATTTCTCGCAGATATTCCGTATGGTGTACCTACTGCGTTTGATGTGCTGTTTATGAAAAGTAGCACTGAAACAATATCTGACGTATAAATCCATACAATGTTATTTAAGATGTGATGTACAAATATTTTGTGTAAGGCGAGGTCCCCCCAACGTTTTGGCATCAATTGCTTAGCACGTCTAGCATCCCAACTATGATTAAAGTATAAATTGATGTCAACCCTTAAGAAACAAAAGAACCCCAAATTATAATCAAATAAAATGACCGGATAAGTGGCGTAAGACAGAATAATGATACTTGGGACCTTTTTGAAACAGAGATAATCGAAACAAAAAGAAAACATGTATTTTTTGTTATCGACTAAAACGTGCACCCAATAACCGTTAACTCAATATACCAACAAAGACAACGAATGCTTTTACAAAACACTGCAATCAAACGTGTTTCCTTGATTTACCCCGAACCTACGTCTAGTGTCTGGTGCAAGGCAGTAGTTCATTTCAGGCGTACTTTTGTGACGTGCACAATAGTATATTGGCAAGAGCGGGGCGCAGCGGAGCGAGTGTTTAATAAACGAGTTAGTTTTTGGTTACATTTTCGCCCAACCACACGAATACATTCACTGACATGACCGTCTGAATTGTCAAACGTGGGAAATATCTCCGAAAACATCCGATTGCTCCCAAGCCCGTAAGGTAAAATCCCGGAAATATCCGAAGTGGCTCGGATTCATGGGAAACGAAACTGACGTGTTAAAATGGCGCTTCCCGCACGCTATATCGTTGTGTAATTAGGTATTTTACAGACGGGAGTAGAAAATTGTGCGGTAAATGGCATTTGACTCACGAGTTTATTTGACACGAGCGGAACGTAGCGGAGCGAATTTTTAATAAACGAGTGAGTTAAAAAGTTTACCGAACGTGTTGTAATTAGGTATTTTACAGACGGGAGCAGAAAAAAACATTATCTAATGTGAGACAATTTACTTACTTGGCGCATCCGCCAGAACAAGAGAGATTTTCCCTTATTGCCCATGACACCCGCGTGTGCAAAATTACAACATGCAAAACTCATGTTTCGCGACTCACTGCGATTAAAATGTCGCGCGAAACTGAAATTTTGTTTTATTTTGTTTGCTTGTACGTTTTGTGGACGATAAGTTATCGCAAGGGCCACGGAAATGTTAACCTGCTTATTAAATATTATTCAATACGCGCGCGTGCGCGTGGACTGTTTTTTTGCCAAACTTCCGCGGAAAAATTAAAAATTGGGGAATTTTTAACAGGCCACGTAGTCAGTCGACAGAAGATTGCTTACGACGTTCATAGTGATTGCTATGCCCCTGTATTTGTAGTGTTCACATTTCAATCACATGAACGTTTTTTCGTATTTAACTAACATTGATAACGTTAAATGTTGAACAAATTCGGTCGATTTTTTCTTAAATTTGCACAGGGTGGTGATGATTGTAACGTTTTAACATGCAAACCTTATTTCTGAACTATCACCACTACCATCCGGGAGTTATTATTATTAATCAAATAGAAACTTTATTACTACAAATATTTGAGTCAAAGGCAGCGACTTGCTCACTGTTTAAATATAATTCTCCTTTTTCTCACGCATGAACCTACAATACGAAATACAACACATCCCAACAACCAATAAAGATTTGGTCTTTAATTGACATATACGAGGGCAGCGCCAAAATTTCCCAGCCTGAATATGAAAGAATCAAAGTAGAGTAACAATTTTTTATTATCTTTCAATATAATCCCCCTTAACTTCAATACGCTTATTACATCTCTTTATTAACAACTCAATATCTCTTTAAAATTCTATTCTTTTGTTTTGTCTGCAAAATGCGGTAAAACAGCCTCTTTTAACTCAACTTCGTCGTTAAACCGCCGTCCACTAAGTCCTTTTCCAAATACCCAAACAAATAATAGTCGCTGGGGGCCATATCTGGACTATAGGGAGAATTATCTATCTGTTGGAACCGACACTCTAAAATGGCAGCTTGTGCAACACCAGCACTATGGACAGGTGCAAAAGACGCACGCCTCTGGTCAGTTTTACACGTATGCAGTCTCGCAATTTATGTAATAATATTGACTGGCAGACAAAAATTTTCTTGGCCACCCTTACGACGCCACTCCATTGATTCTTTTTTCCATAGAGGGTCATAATAGAGAACCATAGTTTCGTCTCCCGTCACAACAGCTTGTATCAGAAAGCTGAGTAATTTCTAAGATTTCCTTGACCTTTAAACGTCGATCACTCAATACCTTCTCTTCCACAATCGCAACAACATCTTCCGTTATGACCTCCACTGGTCGACTAGTTCTTGAATCATCTTCATGGAACTCCTGCCCCATTCGAAAACGTTTTGCCATTCTTTCACTATAGAATACGAAGGAGAACTTTGACCGTACACACCGTCCAGCCTTTTTTTAATAATGTTAGGTGCTAACCCTTCTTTTGTCAAAAATTTTATGAGTGCTCTATACACAATTTGCGTTATTTGCGACATTTTTTCGGTACACGTCCTGCTTAAAATGCTGTCAATAAAAAACTGTTTGACGCAAGATTTCAATTTTTTTTTCGCAGCCTACTAAGATATATATTTGAAAGCAGACAAAGTTTTATCGTGATACTGGAGCTGCATCTATGTCAGGCCGGCAAATTTTGGCGCTAACCTCTTATATGTATAGCCCAATTAGTGATTAACAAAAAAATTCTTATATTTCAACCATTTTTCAATTCAAAGCTTTTTTAAGACTATGGCCAATTGTGGATGCCCTGTTTTGGATATTTAGTAGTTAAATGGTAAAACAGACAAAAAAACGGGCTATCCACTTTGTTTTCTTTTGTAGTGTTTGATTTAATGGCGGAATCAAATCTAAACTAGTTCGACTAACTTAAAAGAGAGCATTTAAAAAATGTCGGTTTTTATTTTCTTTACTCCTTCAGTTATTATAGGCAAAATAACTTTGAATTAAAAACTATTATGAATTTTTACTTTTACCTTTACTTACAAAAATTTTGTGTTTTATTTTTTGATATAATATCACAACCAACCCTTACTTAAACATATCTGATCATATAAAAAAAATTTAAATACTATGAATGTAATAAAAATGAATATTGGTTATCCGCAACAACAAAAGCAAAAAAGGAAATACTTCAAAGAGGGTATCATAATTTAATTGAGCATACCTATATTTTGGAAAACCAAGTAGTAAAATATGTAACAAGAAAGATAAAGGGTTAAAATAGATTTGAAGCTCCTCTATATTTATTTTTATGAACTTATTAAAAATGAACTATATAAAACTCGGAGCAATAATGTAGAAAATATCAGACCAAATGTTATTAATGACATTAGAAGATTACTCAGTATTCATATATAATTGACGCCACTCCTTCTGTTACACTCAAAGTCGAAAAGGCATAGAACATAATAGAAGACATTTTGTGGTTACTTTTGGTAATTATTATAATATTATTGAGTTATTCCTGTTAAGTTTTTGTTTGTTATTTGTAGTCGCTTAAGTTTACCACTTTTTAAAAATATTGAACAAAAAAAGCATTCTTTTTTAAGATGGCCAGATACCCACCCACTTAAGAATATGTTAAAATTGATAATATCTCACAAATTACAACATCCATATTTTCAAGTACGCCACAGAATTCTACATAACATACAAAAACTTATAAATAACCAAGCTAGTTAACGTAGATCTGATTTCGCCATTGAATAAAACATTAAAAAAAAGAACTTGACACATATCTCAAATTTTGTATATCTCTTACCATTTATTCTACAATATCAACGAAAAAAAAAAAATCATGGTGGGTATTAATAGGACACTTTTTAAACTTTTTAGTTTGGCCTTGAACTTCAAGAGCAATTCCGTTTTCAAAGTTTTCAAAATTGAGTGGATGGTTGAACAATTATACAATTTAAAAAACTTATATTTTACAATAACATTAAAAAAATAATAATAAAAAAGTCAGGAATTCCAGTAAAAATTAGAATTGAAATCACTCCTATAGGACTAGTCAGTCTCAGTCAATTGAATAAAGAAAAATTTTAGATTAATTAAGGAAAAAAAAAAACATTATGGATAAAGAAACTTCACCATCAAGAAAGAAAACTATTTTTAAAAAGTTCATAATTCTTATATAGTCAACTTTCTTCACTTTGTTTTTGAATAAGATTATGATAGATATGATAAAGTACGGATTCTATTTATTATCGGGGGAATTAATTCTGCGTGCAGTATAAATAAGGACCACTCAGATCCTTCGTATAAAAAATTAAAAGTATACGAATTTAGCACCCCCCGTAAAACATCTGCCATTAGAATTTGCGACCTGTCGTCGTCTCGAACTGTTTGATCTAACTGAACAATGGCAAAACTTGCCACTTTGTTAATATTCGGTGGTTTCACTCTGAAATTTCCCACAGCCGACGATTTCCTTTTACGGCTTACGCGGAATCGGACAAAACAAGGATATTCGAAAATCTCCAAGGAACGCGGCTTGCAAATTCGCCATTGTCGGTTTAACAAGGTTCTAACACCGGCAGAGGCGAAAGCTTTGCTTACATAAAAACCATACGCCAGGATAGCGGCAATAAATCATCTCCGCACAAATCCGCATTTATTTTTTATTTAATGTTTGTGAAACGGAACCATTCTCGGCGCCGGAGAGTGCTTTTTTATGAGAAAATTCCTTCCTCGCAGCTGTATGTTTCGACGGCACACGACATAACATAATTTCAAATTCGGTGTAACAGGAATAAGAACACCTCCTTTTAGTCCAGTCAAAATAGACAAAAATAAGTCAAAACTCGCATAGAGCTGAAAATTGGCGGAGACGTTAGATACACCATTGTACATGAAATGTCAAAAATCCACTTCGATTCGAAAACATTTATTCAAGGTCAAAAGTCCAAATTGAGGTTTTTTCCATTTTTCTTGAAAACGGAAAGTTTTATCAAAACAAATAAGAACTAATAGTTCAGATTTTCACGGAATTATATATTATGACATGACATTTATTTCGACAACACCGTGTCTTTGTTTGAAACAATTGTCATGTAAAAATATATAATTTCGTGAAAATCTGAACTTTCAGTCCTTATTTATTTTGATAAATGGATTATCATCAAGTAAAACCCACCTCAGTTCAATTTTGGAAAGTTTTATCTTGAAAATAGGTCAGACCAAAGTTGTAGATCATACAATCCTTTAGAAGTATTGTTCAGGTATGGTCTGTTCATAGATATACGAAAGTGACCAATTGCTTTTGAATGGAATTATCCAAGGGTTTTCATTAACATACAATGCAACAAGCCTATTACCTAAAGTTTCGTAATTTAAATTTAGGTAAAATTGTGGTCCGTAATAGAAAATAATTTTATACCTATCTGTGTTTAATATTCTGTGGTTTGGTATATAGTTTAAGTTTATTAGTAATCATTCTTATTTCTTGTGTAATACAGCGTGTGTTGAATCGTGTGCGAATTATGCAAAATATGTGCGAGTCTAGTGTATCTCAGGAGATGCACTATGAGACTAAGGAAGTTATAAACAACAGGTTTCCACCTTACCACTCTATATTTAATCCAGTGTTAACTCCAATGTCCTCAAACTTATAGAAACCGAAGTTTTTCACATCCCTTCACAAATTTGGGCAAATTCTGTTAAATGTATAGAAAAAGCAGAACAATCGTATATCCATATTGCAAATAATATAGAACAAATAATAATTAGAACAGGCGATAATAGCGATAGTGATACTGATATATTATGTGAATAATTTTAAGTAATTTAAGTAGATATTAAAAATAATTTCTAATTTTATTTTAGATTTAAACATAAACACATAAATAAATAAATAAATATTGTTTATTATCTTTCCTAACAAAACCCCAATTAATTAAATTCTAAGCAAAGTACGGACCTGTTCGACCATATTTCGTTCTTACAGCTTGTCCGAGTCTTTCTTTAATTCGTATCAGTTAGTCACTTTCTTATTTCTATGAACAGACTTTACTTTTTTCTCAGGACTCAGCATTGGTTTGCGCACTACTTATGAGGTAATCTACCCCAC